CTCGAGTCATTCTTTGATGGCTGGGGGTGGTTAGCAGGGGGAGTGGGAGAACTTTATTCACACTCCCCATGTTTCCTAGATATTAGCTTCAAAATGGAGTTAAGTGGAAATGCAGCTCTGGAATGGATCGAATTGTATAATGGCACATGGCGTCTTTTCACCATGCGAGATACAATAGTGAGACAGGTTTCCTTGTGGCCGTGGTGGGGGGTAGGTGGATTGAATGAGTGTGTTTATCTGGGGCTCTTCAATGTTGCAGAGGGGAAGGATCGCGCTCCCGATGGATTATTAAGAATCATCCGGGGAAGACGCATGACTGATGGGGAAGCCACTTTCTAGAAAACAAGATGGAAAGACCACCTTCCCTGGCACACTCGATAAATTTCACTTCCCCTTTTTCCCTTTTCCTCTGTTTCTTTGCCTAAGATCTGTCCCCCCACATTTTCTGGGAGGAGATGTGGAAGACAGCCATGTGTAGCGATGGTTTCCTGGCCTTTGCCCCTTGACTTAAGTGTGTCGCCCAGACTGGTGCGTTGCTTTATTTAGTTGGAAATAAAATCTGCATTGAATTCAGTTACTATTTGTTCTCTGTTGAAAATGCCGTTCTCACTGCAAGGGGGAGGGAAAATTACCTCCACCCTTTAGGATTTTTCAGCTGGGCCTGAGAATTAAACAGATGTAAGATAGATCAACAGGAGGAAAGTGTATCAATTTATTTAATATAAGTTTTAGGTGGCATGAGAGCTTGCATGAAGAAATGAAGGCCCAAGGCCAGGCGCGGTGGCTCACGCCTGTGATCCTAGCACTCTGGGAGGCCGAGGCGGGAGGATCACTCAAGGTCAGGAGTTCGAGACCAGCCTGAGCAAGAGTGAGACCCCGTCTCTAGTATAAATACAAAGAAATTAATTGGCCAACTAATATATATAGAAAAAAAAAATTAGCCGGGCATGGTGGCGCATGCCTGTAGTCCCAGCTACTCTGGAAGCTGAGGCAGGAGGATCGCTTGAGCCCAGGAGTTTGAGGTTGCTGTGAGCTACGTTGATGCCACGGCACTCACTCTAGCCTGGGCAAGAAAGTGAGACTCTGTCAAAGAAAAGAAAAGGGAAGGGAAGGGAAAGGGAAAGGGAAAGGGAAAGGGAAAGGGAAGGGAAAATTAGCTGGGCGTCATGGTGAGGGCCTGTTAATCCCAGCTACTCGGGAGGCTGAGGCAGGAGGATCGCTTGAGGGCAGGAGTTTGAGGTTGCTGTGAGCTATGGTGATGCCACTGCACTCTACCAGGGCAATAAAGCGAGACTCTGTTTCAGAAAAAAAAAAAGAAGTCTCTTTTGGGGGGAGGGATCAGCTAAATCTGAGTTCATTCTGATGCCAACACTTGAGCTTCAGTTTTCTTATCTGAAAATTGAGGTAATGCTCAGCTCATGGAGCCGTTGTGAAGAAACTGCGTGGAGCACAGAAGCCCCTGGAA